CTGCCTGTCTGTTTCTCCCTCTGTTTGTACCTGCCTCTAAAAAATTTTCAGGGCTATTATGTTGGACTTCTTCTCTTATATGGCGCTGTGTACCTCTGACGTGGAAATCGGGGCAGTGAAGATCGTAGCATTTCCTCTCATTGACTGAGAGTGTGCATAGCTTAGGGTGAAAATATCTACACTCTGTATCAAAACGACATCTGCCTGTCCCTAACCAGTTTCGGCATTTCCGTGGGTGCATGAATGAGCATTCCGTGCCTCTGGGCCCATATCTACACTGTCCTTTTGCATAATACCAGCAAATATTTTCATTTGTGATTGTATTATTCTTGTTTGTACCCGTGCACGACTTGGCTACCTCTGTGTTTTTTGTTCCAACTTTCTCGTTTCTGCATTCATTCTCGGTATTGCCCTGATCTTTCTCCTTGTTGCTTTCGTCTTTCTCATTCGTCTCATATTTTCTCTCCTTATTCATATCACCAGTGTGCTCTACAATATTGCCTTCATTTTTGTGTACCTCGACACTATACCCTTCTACATTGCTACTTTGACTCTAAATTCTCAGTCCCTGGGTTGTGTTCAGAGTTCGTTGCTGTCTTTATATACTCTGCATATATTTCTGGTAGTTTTTGTGTAAATTGTAGCCTGTGTTCTTCAGGAATGTTATTCATTAGTTTGGTGATGTTTTCCCACATCTGTCTGTCTCTTTGACAGATCCAGTAGTTACCTTCCCGGTTTGCATATTGTGTAGGTAATCCTGTACAACTTAGGTGAAACCTTATGTTACAAATGTTACATACAATGCCTACAACACTCTTCCGAAGTGACTTAAGGCAGCCTCCACACACCTCCATGTTGGGTTTGTGATGTTATAATAATATATGCATATATTTAAGTATTATATGTATGTATATATAATATGTATCCAGTATATTTATAATATTACATATGTTTATTTGTTCAAGTTTATGTGGGGATACTTATCGCCTTGTGGAGAAAATATGGTCCTCTTGGGACCGTCTAGTTGACCGTTGTTTGTCCCAGGTCGGGGGCAGAATGGGCAACCAGGATGTCACTGGTTGCCAGTTACTTGATTTAAACACTGATTATGTGCCTGTAATATCCTAAGGGACTTTCTGCTTTCTTCTGGCTTGTAATGTTATTCACTTACTCTATTACTAGTTCCTAGCTCGAGTGTCCCTGTATACGAGTTTTTTGAAATACGAGCAGGATTTCCTCGGAAAATGTGCCTCGGAAGGCGAGGGTTACCTCGGAATCCGAGTTTGTTGATACTGAACAGGCCGAACTAACATGTGGTACAGCGATCGTCGCCCCTCACCCCTCAGTTTACTAGTGCTTGGCGCCCAGTAACTATCCCACGTCAATTCTTCACCCGGATTTTCAGTGTTTTGTTGGATTTTTGGTCATTTGACCATAAAAGTAGTTGTTATATATCTCACCATGGGTCCCAAGAAAGCCAGTGGTAAGGATCAAGGCAAGAAAGCATGTGAGGATGACAATAGAGGAAAATCAAGAGATCATTCGGAAGCATGAAAATGGTACATGTGTTGTTGAACTTTGTAGGCAGTACAACAAAGCCACGTCAACGATATGCACAATACTTAACAAGAAAAAGGACATTATGAGTGCTAAAGTGGTAAAAGGCGTAAGAACAATCACGAAACAAAGACCACAAATACTTGAAGAAGTGGAAAAGTCGTTATTAATTTGGATACACAACAAGGAGTTAGCAGGGGATAGTGTTTCAGAGGCCATCATTTGTGAGAAAGCCAGGGTATTGCACGAAGACCTTGTAAAGAAAACCCCTGGAACGAGTGCAGATACGATAGACTTTAAGGCAAGCAGGGAATGGTTTGAAAAATTTAGAAAAAGAAGTGGTATTCTAGTGTCATAGTGTCATCCATATCCACCACACCTCTCCTCCTCCCTCCTTCTCATCATCTTCCATACGCCTACAGCATTCATCAGCAAGGGTAAGTAATAACTTGAACATAGTTTTGTAGGTTTATTTAGATGAATTAGGTATAAAATTTAGATTGAAGTGAGGTTTTTGGGGTAGTCAGGAACGGATTAATTCATTTCCCATTATTTCTTATGGGGAAATTAGCTTCGGATTACGAGTTTTCGGAATACGAGTTGTCTCCAGGAACGGATTAAACTCTTAAACCGAGGTACCACTGTATTTCCATTGAGCAGAACATTAACATGATAAAATCGAGGCATGGGTACTACCACCACCACTTCGAGGTAAGCACTGTGAACCAAGTCTGGAACAGCTCATGGTGTGAGGAACTGTGTATATTCACTTACATTTTGTGGGTAAATAATTGTTGTCATATACAGGCATACCTCAGTTTAAGAGTTTAATTGGTTCCTGGAGACGCCTCGTATTCCGAAAACTCGCATTCCGAAGCTAATTTCCCCATAAGAAATAAAGGGAAATGAATTAATCCGTTCCTAACTACCCCAAAAACCCCACATCAAACTAAATTTTTATACCTAATTCATCTAAATAAACCTACAAAACTATGTTCAAGTTATTACTTACCTTGCTGTTGATTGCTGTAGGCGTATGGAAGATGGTGAGGAGGTGGGAGGAAGAGAGGAGTTACTGTTTGGAAGGGGAGTCCCCTTCCATTATCACATCAGGCAGTGAGGACTTCACTGGTATGCACACTCTGGCACATTTTGCCTGCATGCCACTAGGACTTGCTTGTTTTACTAAGAATTTGTCTAATGACACTTGTTTTTCCCTACATTTTAACACTTGTCTGTAGTAAGACATCACATTATCATTTAAAAGGTCAATGCAACGGCCTGCTACAGCTTTATCTGGGTGAGTTTTTTCAACAAAACTTTGCAGTTCTTCCCATACTTCACACATTTTCTTAATCAAGAAGGGACATCCTCTACTGCCTCTACTCACAGCTATTTTCTTAGGTTGAACCTTACCAATGGCTTTCTTGAGACCCATGGCAAGATATATAATGACAACTTTTATGCTCAAATGGCCAAAAAACCGATAAAAAACTGTAAATCCTTGTGAAGAATTCAGGTGGGATAGTCACTGGACACGAGACACTGGTAAACTGAGGCGCGATCGTCATGCCACCACGCGCCAGTCGGCCTGTACACGTATCAACAAACTCGCGTCCCGAGGTAACCCTCGCCTTCCGAGACATATTTTTGGAGTAAATCCTGCTCGTCTTCCGAAAAACTCGCATACAGGGACACTCGCATTCCGAGGTACCACTGTACCTATAATATTGCACAACATGATTCCTGAATTATAAGTTACAAAGAAAATAAGGATTGCATAATAATTTTTTCAAAATGTTTGAAGTTGAGCTGCAGCCTCAGACCACCAGTGTATTAACAGCATAACATTTGTATTAAACATAATGCTGGTGATGGGGGCACCAGCTGAGAGCTGTAAAGTATGTTTATGTATGCAGCATAGGTTAAGAAGTATATGCAGTATAAAATAGGGACTACTAAAGAAAAAAATGTCTATAAATTGTACTATTTTGAAGAGAGCCTAAGAAAGAAGGCAACTGCCAAATCTCAACATTCATAAGCCTAATATAATATATTTATGTACTAAATTAGGCAAAAAATGGCAGATGTAAGGTCTCGGACACATTAAATATAGTTTTTGGTTACTTTTCCAATAGTACAAAATACTGTACAATATTACCTTTTTTGGACACAGGCCATGTCCTTTAAAGCAGCTACAGAGTCCAAAATTTTTGGAAGGTTGATTGGATAAAAATATGGTACAAATAATATCTAGGGAAGCTGGTATGGAAGGAACCACTTGGGTGCCAAGCAGGCAAAAGTAACCACAGTAAGTGGAAATCCCTTCATAATAAAGTACAGAATTGCACAATTTTCAATTGTTGAAAATATTAAGCTGTTCAAATATGAACTATTCTAAAGTAATGTACAATGTTGTAGACCACCACCAAACCATTAATTTCCACATGCAGTATCTTCCTTTCCAGATGCTTGGTAGCTCTTGTGGTGTTCCAGATGCTTGGTAGCTCTTGTGGTGTTCCAGATGCTTGGTAGCTCTTGTGGTGTTCCAGATGCTTGGTAGCTCTTGTGGTGTTCCAGATGCTTGGTAGCTCTTGTGTGTACTTGTGGTGTTGCAGATGCTTGGTAGCTCTTGTGGTGTTCCAGATGCTTGGTAGCTCTTGTGTGTACTTGTGGTGTTCCAGATGCTTGGTAGCTCTTGTGGTGTTCCAGATGCTTGGTAGTTCTTGTGGTGTTCCAGATGCTTAGTAGCCCTTGTGTGTACTTGTGGTGTTCCAGATGCTTGGTAGCTCTTGTGGTGTTCCAGATGCTTGGTAGCTCTTGTGGTGTTCCAGATGCTTGGTAGCTCTTGTGTGTACTTGTGGTGTTCCAGATGCTTGGTAGCTCTTGTGTGTACTTGTGGTGTTCCAGATGCTTGGTAGCTCTTGTGGTGTTCCAGATGCTTGGTAGCTCTTGTGGTGTTCCAGATGCTTGGTAGCTCTTGTGGTGTTCCAGATGCTTGGTAGCTCTTGTGGTGTTCCAGATGCTTGGTAGCTCTTGTGGTGTTCCAGATGCTTGGTAGCTCTTGTGTGTACTTGTGGTGTTCCAGATGCTTGGTAGCTCTTGTGGTGTTGCAGATGCTTGGTAGCTCTTGTGTGTACTTGTGGTGTTCCAGATGCTTGGTAGCTCTTGTGGTGTTCCAGATGCTTGGTAGCTCTTGTGGTGTTGCAGATGCTTGGTAGCTCTTGTGATGTTGCAGATGCTTGGTAGCTCTTGTGTGTACTTGTGGTGTTCCAGATGATTGGTAGCTCTTGTGTGTACTTGCGGTGTAATTTCTCATTTTTTTTTAAGCTGCTGTAACAATGCTCTTTGCACGTTAACTTTCACAGTAAACTAATATATTTTCGTACAATAAGCCAAGTTTTTATTTAACGCAAAAATAAAAAAGGACATTCAAACTCAAATTCTTTTTGTTAACATTTATATATAAAACATACAAATTAACAAATTAATTGTTTTTTACAAATATCTTTGCTTCATCTATAAATCATGAAGTCAGCTCTTTCCATTGTATTAAACATTATCTTACTGTACGGCCAACCAACAAACACATCTCACACTATTTAATGGTTATGTAGGCAGGACTGTTGATAGTTTTTATTATTACATGTTAAAACCTATAATTACCAAGCAGGAGCCCCAAACCTCTCTAGAACTTTATCTTGATCAACCAACTCTATTTGCACTTTCTTTCTCATATAGAATATGGGACAGTCTCGACTGAAAAGAAAAGTAAAATTGAATAAGTTGATATAGAGTGCATGGATAAACAATAATAATAAAGAGTACATGGATAAACAATAATTATAAGGTGGAATAAGGCTTAATGCAAGTAGTGTGCCGAGTGACAATTAAGCAGCAATGTTTAAAGTACCAGATGAATATGCCTATAAGCTAATTTATTTTAAAGCATAGACCTCTGCTCCCCTTTTGTTTTTTCTTCTTTCTTCTGGTAAGTTATAAGGAATTCCCCCACCAGTCATATGCGGTAGTAGATGCTTGATGCTTGTCCCACAGTTTTGCCCAAGTGTGATAGTGCTAATTCTATGTGATAAACTATGGATTAGGGAGGGGTACCCAGCTGTACTCAGGTCTACATCCCTCTACCCTCTATCCCCATGTCTCATAAAATGAACTGGTAATGAATTCACGTTCAGCCACCTTTCACTGGTTTCGTGGCTGGGTATAACCACTGGGCCTGACACCCTCTTAACTTGAACATTATATGGTAGAATGTCCCATACTGATTGACTTTCACCCTCCTGGGCTAAGGTATGCTGAACTCTGTAATTACTATATGAGTACTGGAACTCTTGATGATATATTGGACTTGTACCCAAGATTGACCGTGTAATGTATCAATTATATAATGTATGTATGTGATGTAACTATATAACCTGAGCTTGTAAAAGCACCTTCATCACCTTCAGTGATTAAGTGCTTAATTGCACACTAGTTTCTCTATCAGCTATCTCACCCTGTCAGAGTAACAGAGACAAATGTATGTGAATGCATGTGTGTATAAATATGAATGTATATATGTATATGTACGTATATTCGTGCGTTTATGTATATGTATGTGTATAAAGTATATATGGAAGCTGATCAGAATTACATTTCCCCTTTGTAAATGCACATAAATGACACTAAAAAGACACATCGAACACTTTATGTAGGGCATACATAAATCTGTGTATCTATGTATTTACGTATGTATGTTAGCTTAGCATTTTAAAAGCACCGAATCACCTTCTGTGGTTGAGTGTTCAATAAACCCTTGAACTATATGTTTAACACATCTCTAACCCTGACCATGGAGGACAGAAGAAAATGTATATATGCTGGTTAGCATTGTAAATGTGTAGCCACGTCTGTGGTAGAAAATAATAATAATAATAAAAACACCAGCGTTGAATGTAATGAAACGCCATTTTCTGGGCGAGTCCCGGAGGCTCCCCGGAGCTATCCATGGCTGATATGGATACCCTAACTAATTTTGCATCAGTCGATGTGGGTGGACTTCTAGGCCTACCGGTGACCACGAGCCAGAACCTGGCCCCCTCAGAGAGGCACGGGGAGCAATGGCCCATAGAATTGCACATGTGATTTGGAGCATTCTATATCTGCCATCGACCGGGACAAGCACCCAGAAAGGTAAGCGCCATAAAACAAACCCCTATTCTGGTTAACAACAAAAATCGACAAACGAGTGGACAGAACTCCCACAGGAAAACGAACTCACAAGCATGACGTCACACGAGCCGCGCCGCATGTCTGCGCAGCTCCCCCCTCCCTGGGAGGGGGAAGGGGGAGCCCCAGACCCCCGCGCCGGCAATCCCCGCCCCAGTTCTGAGGCTGGATATCAAAACCGCGAAAAAAACGCCGACTGGAGGGCGGGAGGGTGCCGGGGAGCCTCCAGGACTCACCCAGAAAATGGTGTTTCATTACATTCAACGCTGGTTTTCTGGGGGGAGCCCCTACGGCTCCCCGGAGCTACTTCACCAAAGACTACCTAAGAAAACAAGGGGACATACCCGGGAGGTGGTCGGTGAACCACACCTGAACACGAAGTCGAGACAACCCAAGGACCCCTCCGGAAAGCAGCAGGCACATCATTCGCCAGAAAAAGGGAAAACGGCTGCAGACGAAGAATCCTATGACCACGACCATAGGAGCCAAAAACCACTGAGCCTGAGAAGAGCATGAAGCTCTGCCACACGACCCCCAGAGGCCAATGCCAACATAAAAAGAAAGCCAAGGCAAAGCAAACCTGAACCGAAGGAGCCACAACAACCAAGGAGAAGAAAAACATGGAGAGCACCCTGTCCAAAAACCAGAACGGCACAGGCAGTGCATGAGCAGGCCGGAGGTGAAACAACGCACGAGACAGCCTGCGAAACGGCGCAGAAGGAACATCGATACCGAAAGCTAGCAGCAGAAACCAAGGTGCCAGACCCAGGAACGGCCCCAAGCGCCTTTACATCCTCCGCAAGCCAATCCTATGACAGCCCCAGGAGGGAAAAGAAAACGCAGGACCAAAACCAAAATGCCACAAGCGTGCAAGTCCATCGCCACAAGTGCAGCCGACAGGGAAGGAACCCGCATAAGGAGCCGCCCCCGCACCAACATCCCGCAGAAGGGCAAGAGCGAAAAGACTCATTAACACTTTCGCACTTTAGATTAGAGATAACTCGTCGCCGTTTTTTCTTACGATTCCGCATAACAGCCTACTTTTCTCGTCCATCGAAAAAATATTCCTATAAATTCCATTTTTTAACCGAAATGGATGGGGATACTCTCAGATTATATACGTTTTGTAGAGAATTTATTTGCGAATTTTTTGGTACCAGAATGAATATTATATCACATAAACTTCTATGAGTAAAAAAAAAAAATACACAAAGTATGTTTGGGGGTGTGGCGAGCGTGTGGCAGTGGGTTCCCTTTAGCCGTTGATATATCCAACACGTGGGAAATATTTGTATGTGTTATGTATATGTCTGTGTAGGGAATTTTACTGTGATCACTGTCATACAAATTATAAAATGTTTCAACAAGTATAAACATGACAAACATCAAACGAACGAAAACAATGCGTTCGTTTCTGCCGCGAACGCATACCGAGCGACGTGGTTCTATATTTGGCGCTTCTCTTACACATGCTTTGTACAAATGTTATACATTTCATCTTATAGAAAATTTTATTGCGAACATATTGGTATAAAAAAGAAATACGTACATAGAAAAGTAGGGTCAGGAAACGTATAAACTTTCCAAGCATGATTTCCCCCCTGTGTTTTCGCCAGTGCGCTCGCGGCTAACTACTCTCCACTTCACACACTCTTGCAGGTGGGCAATTACCTATATTAAACATTCATATGCATATGTCTGTGTAGAGAATTTTATTGCGATTCCAATGATACCAAAATTAGCGATGTAGGACAACTGTAGGGTTCGCAACCATTAAGAGAGTGGAAACATTTTGTTGCTGTTTGGCGCTCTCGGCGAGTGATCTGCATAGTTTTTTATTTGGTGTTGATACTCCTTATGCTTGGGCGGCATTTTATAGGTATGCTCTTATAGACAATTCCATTGCGAACACAGTGATACCAAATTTAAATACGTGCGCCTTCAATTATTGTCAGGACAGTCAAAAGAGTGTACACTTTTTTGGTCTTACCGCGTAGGCGCGCGAAGTGCCGAAAGCATCTGGGGTATTGTTTTTTTTTGAGCGCCGAGAGCGCGAAAGTGTTAAGAGGAGCAAAATCGCCCCCAGGAAAACGAGTAGCGCCGAGACAGCGCTAAAAGAAGAGTTATGAACAAAAGAACAAGAAGGCCAAACACCCAGAAGCTGCCTGGAAGAGGACTCACAAGCCCTAGAAAGGACCGGAGGGAAGCTCAACCGAATGACGACAGACGTACCAGAAAACGGGAAGGAGCAAAACCGTCCTGAACCTTCAAGAACAAAAAGAAGCAAACACAAAGGACGAAGGCACAAAAACCCCGTTGCACCCGAGACCAAAAGTCATGCAGGAACTCCAAGAAGAGGGGGACATGACAGAGAAGGCCCATCCCAGAAAAAAAGGAGCGAAGACCGTAAAAAAGAACCCACCGACAGGATGGAAGCAACGGGCACAATGGACAAGAAAACCGAGCCCAGGGAGGGGCCGACGCCCACAAAGCACGTGCGTAGAGGGGTAACGGAAAAACCCCACACCACAAAACTGCAAGCCCCGCCCAAAGGGGTAGAAATACCCCGGCGGGGACCAACAGGGCCTGAGGCCCCTCATGTTAGCCCCACCCCAGCCCCGGGAACCCACCCTGCAGGCCCCGAGGTCGAGCTGTCCCCCCAAAGCCTCAGCGTCAAGAAAAACCCCGGGGCAGCCGTGAAAAACACTAAGGAAGGGAGCCCACTAGGCTCTGGAACTTGAACCGAAACCGGAGGATAGGTGAGGGGCGAGACGAAGACCCCAAGCTCATCCCCAGCCAGCACAACGAGGCGAGGACGAGGACAGGACAGAGAATCCAAGGAACATGGAAAAACCAGGCCCGGCACAGCAAGACCGGCAAGGAAGGAGGGCCTCAGAGGGAGCACGGAAGGGCCGAACAAAATGCCACAACCAACCCCGACACACAGCTGCAGTACCAAAACCGCCGCAAAATGTCACCACACTCCTCGAGGAAGCAACAGAGAAGATAAAGATAAATCGTAACACAAGTGGCACACAAGGGGACACAGGCGGAAACCGAGCACCCAACTGAGCCACAGGGACGGTAGCAGAAACGTGTGCAGTGTAACAGGCAAGCGAAGGAAAACATCAGGCAGCCCAACTTGGGCTGTCCCCATACAAAGCCCCAAGAGCAGACACAAGAGCACCCATGAAGCACAGAATCCGCTCGACAGGTGAACGACAGGGGAGAGGCGGAACCAAAGAGCCAGAACCCAAACCTGCAAGCACAAGGAGGCGAGCACAAAACACCCTCGACACAGAAAAACGTACCACCGAACAGGCACCCCCACCATTGCACCGTGGAACAAGGTGGAGGCGGGGCCCCGAACTCAAGCAAGGTTAGACAAGCATAGGAGAGGGGCAGAAGGAGTACAGGCAGGAGCCGCCTCGGAAGGGCCAAGAGGCCACCCGCAGACACCCGTGAACCGAGGAAGGAAGCAGGTGGAGAGAACAAGAGCTGCCCTGTACGGGTTAATAGCCCTGCAGTAG